CGCACACACGTGTGCTACTCAACAATAGTAGTAAGATAATAACAATAGTAGTAATAATCATGCATCATGACTGAACAGTCACAACAACAACAACAAGAAGAAGAAGACAAATAAAGGTAAGAATAACAATACTAATAACAACAACAATAACAGGACAGGCACTGATGATAATAGTACTAATTCTGGTACTAATACTAGACTTCCTGTTTTAGGAGTCCTTGTCGGCGGCCGTCACCATGGCTTTGCTCTTCTGCGGCTGGCTCTCGAAAACCGACTGCACCTGACCAAAGAGCGAGGTTGAAGATCTGCGCGAGATACTGTTGATGGACAAAATTCTGCATGACCCAAATATAGTATAGTACCATAAATCCCATAGTTTAGGTATATAAGGTCATGCAGGATTTTGTCCATCAACCGTAGTGCCCCCAGCCGATGCCTCACCGGCACTCGGTGCGTCCGCTCGACCATAGCCCACAGCAGCCTTCGAAGGAAGATGAGGGGAGCATTCCGAACCTGTGAAAATCCCGAGATTCACGGAGCCGAGGGCCTTCGATTGCTGCGGATTGCTTTCGAAAGCAGACCTTGGTTTCAGGTGCCTCCCTCTCTTCCCCCGGCCTCAGCCCTCCCGACAGGAAACTGCGATGAACTCTGCCGGATTCAGCTCTCCACGGCTCTGATGCGCTCGCAGCAGCAGCCGCGTATGCGGTATCTGCTTTGGACCTGAAACAGCACACAGGTACCAGTAGAGGCATATTTCTTCTCTTGGGAAAAGGTGAGCCGAGAGGGTCACTGCGCTGGCTGGCTTTCGAAGGTTGACTGCGCAGCATCTGCCGGCGAGGCAGCCGAGGCATGGCTCACCTGCGCAAGAGAAACCCTAGCTCCTAGAAAGCCGTAGGAAACCCGTATGAAGTTGTACGGCTTTCAAGTGCTCTCTCTTCTTCAACAACCAGGCCCAAAAAAGTTGAAACTTTTAAGGATAGACCGAATATCTAAGAGTAGAACCTCTGCAGAGCTTTGCTTCGGCTGCGACTCGAAGACGGACTGCTCTGCCTCAGTCAAGGCACAGGCCGTCTGGACAGGTTTCAGGTTTAGGGTATAGGCTTGAAGAGACTCTTGTCACCCTGACCCTTGCGCCTCCGTCCCTGAAGACTTGGATCCATAGTTTGTGTCAGCCTAGTCAAGCATGTCAAGCGATGAACGAGTGCTGGCAAGAAGGCGGCTGCGAGAGGTGGGGTCTCTGGCAGGACTTATCGAGGAAGTGGAGTTGGTCCCGGCTTGAAAATCCCGAACCGCGAGCACTTGAAAGCGCGGCACGTGTGAGACTCTCCGGAGCCGCGAAGCAGCCTTCGACTGCTTCGTGGCTGCTAAGACGCTTACGCTTGCACAAGCATCGAAAAGGGAGGCAGTCCTGCCTGAAAACTATTTAGCTGTAAAGGTTCATGTGCGTATCACTCCAGAGCCAGCAGCACGTCCTACACGGACACATCGAGTGCAGTGCTGCGATGTTGATTGTACTTCCAGCCTCTAGGCAGGCACTTCTGGTGCCGGTTCATCGGAGTCGGCGCTCTGTGCCTCAGGCTGACGCACTTCTACCCGTGCCCACAAGAGGCCTCCAGCTGGGCTCCCTGCTTGCATGGCAATGTGGCGGCTTGCAAGGCCGAAGGCCCTCTCAGCATCCGATTCGCCCTCGATTTCCAGAAAGGCCTCCAAACCGCCACTGCTAGAGGCTCGGGTTTGGAGGAGGGAAATGCTGACGTCGGCCTTGAAGTCGACTTCGTCTTCGGACATTCCTTCAACCTGCGCTAAGGAGCAAGGCCCTGCGTCGTCTCGAGGGCCAAAGAAAAACTCAGGACCGGACGACTACCGGGATGGCCTTGTCTTCATCTTCTGACTTGAAGAAGAAAGGCTAGTTGCACGACTCATGAAACGAGACCCCGACGTACTCTCCTTTCACCAGTCTCACTGTGGGTCCATAGTCGCATCCCCCTGTGCCTGCGGATGCGCACGCATGCGCAACACTTCCTGGCAAGGGGTGGCTCAGTGAGAAGCAGGACATGAATATCTTGGCACCCAACATTTGCCCCACTCTATTCCCGGGGCTGGCCAACCAGCCTCGGCGCTTGAAGTTCAACAGAAGCGATTAGACATGCAAACAAGACCGCCAAAATCTCAGACGCAAACTGCCGCTGCAGCTTTCGAAGTTTGATCTAAGACGAACTTTGGATTGTAGCCGCTGCCTGCCTTTCGGCTGACCTCGACGGCAATGTGCGCATGTGCATGTGTCGAGGATGTCAACCCGCCTCGACTTCAAACGTTCACCCCACCGAGGCAGCAACGCACTTCTCGCAAACTCGCAGGGCAAATTTGCCAGGCTGCGCTGCAGCCTCTGGCAGCCTTCCCAGGCCCAATGCACATAACTCAGCGCTTCCGCGAGACACAGCGGAAACGCGCGAGGCCTCAGGCCACCCAGAGTTGCCACTGCCATTACAGCCGCCACTGCAGACAGAACCTCGATTGCCAGGTTTTGTCGTCGTGTCATTCCCGGGCTTCTTTGGATGTGCACCCTCCATTCAGCTCACGGATTCGGAAAGCCGCATCTAAAGTCTCTGTCAGGAGTGCAATGGACAGCAGGCCGATACGGGGAGGCATGACTGTGACGACCAAGCAGGGCAGACGCACTGCCCCCCAAACTGCATCCACATCCCCAATCTTTGGATCAGCCAGACCGTTAGATGGGGCTCAACCCTGTGCTGCTCGCAACGGCACGCAGCAGAAGAGCATGTAGCGGTTCAGAGAAGAGCATGTGCTAGCCTGTCCTGCGATCAGTTATGCACAGAATATCCGCCCATTGCTTGCTCCAACCGGACTCCAACCCCCTCCTCCGCCTCCTCTGCTAAGTTACTCTGAGTTAGCTTGTTTGCCAGAATAAAGTAAGCATTCTATCTCGTATCGCGAGGCTCAAGTCAAGGGTGCCAGGACCCTGCGGTGGCCTCCTACGGGTGACCCCTGGCTTCTGCGGACAGGAGACAAGCCTTCGCTTTCCTGGCAGCGCAAGCCTCTCAAGTTGGAAGGGAAATACATTAGACCTCACCTACGACAGGTAATGTGTGAGGATTTGAACAGGGTTTCCATGAGGGAGTGCGAGGTGGGTGCACTGCCTTCGAGTGCGCAGGGGCATTGGCGTCATTGCTGTGCGTGGGCCCAGCTCCATGTCCTCAGCAATCAGTAGGCCAGCCGTCAAAGGCTGCATCGAAACGCTCGTAGCAGATTCTAGCCATTTGGGTGCCGAGCAGCTCAGGTGGAACTTGTTACTTCAACAGCTTCTCTCAGCCACAACGGCGGATAGCGGCAAGCACGTGCATACCACACTTTGAACGAAATGGCACCACAAACCCATATAAACCAGTTCTAGGTGCAATAAGCCGCTTTCTGGTGCAATTGGGATGACACTAGTCTGCTATACGGTACACTATACTATACGCAGTACTGTACTGTACTATACTGTACTATATGCTCGCCTTTTTTCTTCACTCTAGACTCCATAAACTATGACACAAGAGGCTGCTAGGAAAAAGTAAGCCGGCCTTGCTCGTCTGCGGCTTGCTCTCGAAGACAGACTCTTGCTGAACCTGCTCCCTCGGAGGTGAGAGGTCTCCTAGACATCTCTACACTCCACGTCTCAAGGTCCTTTACACTGCTCTAAGCTTCGCACACGGCCGCGCCACTGGGACAATCAGCGGCGCTAGCTCTTGGCTGACTCTCAAACGTCGACTGTGCTGGCGAATCGTTGGCAACCTGACGCAGACTCCATTCAAGCGGCAGCAGAAGATGCACACATCACGTCAGTCGGCAAAAGCAGTCACACTTTCTAAGGCTTCCTGGGCCGAGTCTGAAGCAATCCGAGCTGTCCACTTGGCTCACATGGCTGTTGAAAGCACGCTCGAAACAGGAGCCGGCTGCGAAAGCAATAGAGGCGCTGGCTGTATCATGCTGTACCCAGCACGCACACGCTGTGGCTGTACAAGAGATGGCGGGTGCTTCAAAATTGCAAACACTTGCACTCAGAAACAACGGCATGATAAGAACTTACACCGCAAGCCCGGAGCTGAGAGTAAGCCATCCTCCAGCTGCTTCTGCTGTCTCTGACATTGCTGTAGCCTTGGTTCCTGAATAGAAAATCTGGGCATGCGACGCCGAAACCGTTCAATCATGCCATGAGAGATGGAACCGAGATTCAGTGCGAACCTCATTGTGCCTTCCAAGCTCAAAGTCTCAAAGAGCTGGATAGGTTGCTTTGCCTGGAACTTCTCAACTCCACAACGACAAGATGGTGGCATGTATTCATGCCACACAGCAGCACGCGCTGCTCTCAATATTCACGATAAACGGACCAACAACGAGGACATCAGTCCTTTTCATGATCTCGGACAAAGGAGTGTCAACTCTGTCGGCATGTGCGGTACCTGCGAAAAGCGAACAGACAGCACAAAGTCATCCCTCCATATACCACCAGAGGCTTTCGAACGGCCGGGCGACTGTGGCGGCCTGGTTCAAACGGAGGTGTCGCACTGCATCCCAATCCGCTCCTCCAGGCCACCCGTGCCCATGCAGTGCAAGGACCACCAGCCTGACGACGGCTCCTTTTGAAAGAGCTGCCTCACCTCGGAGAAAAGTTCCAACGGCTTTACTGGTTTCGGTAGCACCTTCAACATGCAAGCAACTGAAGGAATGAAGAGGCTGCCGAAGGACCTCTTGCCAACCTGCTTGGCCTCTCCAAGGCCTCAAGAGGGACACAGCGATATGTGACGAAATCCTTGGGCTCACCTTACAAGCCGTCCGCACCTGCCAGTGCTGATCATGATGAGCAGGGCCTCCCAGTTCACTCCCGGCTGACACCCCGACTCCGACCCCCAAACTATGGCTTCAGAGGGCCGTGGCGGCCTCGATGATGCTGCGAGCTAGATTCACATTGACAAGCAGAAAGCTGCCACCTAGGGCTGGCAAGATCAAGTGAGAGCAGCGGAAGAATACGTCGACGCGCAGACTGCTCGAATCCCCAGGCACTGACAGCTCTGGCTCTACCGTACTACCCTCTCAAGGACCCAGCCCGTGCCATCACCAAGGTCCCGAAGAGAAGCATGCACCTTCGACAGGCTGCTATGTCTGATACTGTGTTGTGAATGATAGCTGCGACACGTCATGTCATAGTCATGCTATCATCTTAGCATCATTCTTAATGCACGATACATACGATTGCACTCGGTCTCATTGACCCTCACTGCCCTGATCGTCCGTACTTGTACAACTCTTCCTGCTGACGAAACCATCCTCGATAGGTTTTCTCTGTGTTACTGGTATGCTTTGATTGGTGATCGCTTAGCAGTCTGAGCTTTCTGGCTAGATGCACACTTGTCATCCTTGCTATCCCATTTCGTGTCATTGCCAACTGCAGTATGCCCGAAACTCCTGATGTCGTGCCTCGACTTAGCATTGCCATAGTTATTTGCCAAAGTCTGACACCGCCGACCAGGACTCACATTAGCAGCATTGAGCGTGACTTCTGCAAGGAGCTGCCTTCTCCAGAGCTGCTCGCAGCTGATGGAAGTAAGTGCCAAAGCTGTCATGGACCATCTCCTGCGAAACAGCAGCTGGGTTCATGCCAACAATTCTAGCGGCCCTAGCGCGCGTCCTCCGCAAGCTTCATCTTGATTTCGCTGCGGGCATCCTTACAGTTTGAGGTACACGTCCATATCGTCCCATGAGAGAGCAGGAATCACAGCAACATGACCTGAGGGTGGTGCGCTGTTGAAGGCATCCAGCACTCGTTGCCAGCAGGACGATGCATGGCGCCAGTACTGCTTCCTTGGATGTGAGGCGACGCCGGCCTTTGCTGTCCTGGCACCTCTGTTTGACCTCTGAGACGGCGACCAGACCTCTGCGAGATGCTCCATGGCTAAGAAAACCGAAGCCTGTCATGAAGTTGCAGCGTCGAGAGGCGGGAGGGGTGCGCAGAAGCTGTACCGCTGTAGCGCTTGGATGTGCAGAGTCCGCGACTGGCCTCTTCCTTGCAAGTCGTCGAAACCGCAGAGCTCTCCTGCATGACACGATGAAGGTTTTGCTCCTGGGCCCTGGGCAGTACCGCTGGGTACCATGGCACGCACCTCTGCGAGAACCACAAGGGTTTGCAGAACGCTCAAACCTGATGCAGCGATGCTCATGCGACTCATTCTGAGAACAAGCTGTAACAAAGGCTCGGTGCTGCTGCGTTTGAGGTTACGGCCCGCGGAGTGTAGATCAATCATGGAAGCATACTCTGACTGCAAGTCCTGGCATGAATCGTGGAAACATATGGAAAACACCAGACGAGCACAAGCATCGGAAGTCGATCCTGGTCTGCGGCTAAAGCACTTGTGCCCCGTGAGAAGAGCAGCCAAGAAGACAGCGTCCAGTAACGCCCATCCTCAGTTTAGTGATGAAATACTTGCCAAAAAAGCCACCTGGACTGAGAGGCGAAATCAAAGCGGCCGAAGCTCGCCAGCCGCCCCGACAGCGCGCCAGCCGTCGGCACTCCAGGTTTCGGAGTCCACGGCCTGGCCGAGGGCCAGCGCCGCTTGGCTCATGGCAGCTCGTGGCAGCTCGCTGCTCCGCTCCGCTCCGAGTGCTCGGCCAGGCCGAAGTCGATCAAACCGAAGCTGAGCTGCCCGGTACAGACCTCGCTGCGAAGCTGGCACTGAGTAAACGAGAGAGGTGGTCGTGCTCGCGTTTTCCGGCGCCTGGACGAGGATGTTGTGGGGGTTGACGTCACGATGGAAGAAGCGTTTACTCACGTGGTGCATGGCAGCAGAGATCTGGCTTAGCCTCGGCTCTTGGCTCTTGACTGGGCTCAAAGGCAGCACACATGCGGAGCCAAGCCGCATTCGCTCAGCCACTTTGAATGCCTGCCATGGGGGTGCTCAGATTTGTCAGACTGGCCCTCATCCACGGTCTGTGCACGCGACCTGCACCGTGGGGTGCAGTTTGTGCGCACACAGCTGGCCAGCCTGACTGCAGCGACGCGAGAACAGCCCATGAGATTGCACTCCGCATGCCTCTAGGGCCTGTTGAAGAGGTGTACCTGTCGGGCGAATGCAGGTCAGGTCTCAAACTACTGCGACGAGTGCAGATCTCCGTAGCACAGACTTTCCCAGACGGTTTAGAACTGGCGGTATCAACAGCATGCCCAAAGACAACCCCACAGCTTCTGCCTGGTATGTGCTCCATCGCCAGAAGCGTACGGTAGCCTGTGCTGGTGAGAGTTGTTCCAGCCTTGCAAAAGGCACTGGGGAAACTCCACCAATATGAAAGTGGTGCAAGCTCAGGTCGCCAGGAACCCAGCGCACAGCAAGTAGGGAAGAGCTGCACAAGCTCTGTCGTCCTTCCGGAAAAGCGCCAATCCAGGACAGCTCCGGTGCCCTGAGATGACTATGGATCCGGCTAACGGAACCCTTAGACCCCAGCGGCACTGTCTTACAGTGGCGAAACGTCCTGTCCTGTATTAAATCGCGAAGACTACGAAGGCGCTTTGCCTCCAGCACAGCGGCCTGCCAGCTTTGTCCCTCGTCGGCACCCAGGAGAACTTACAAAGCAAATGCCCCTTCTGCCTCCATGCCTTCTTCGGAAGAGCTCTGCACTTCCTGCGAGATCAGCTTCAACAAGCGAATGCAACATCAGCTGGCCTTGACCGGCTTGCCAGAGCTTTCCTACTCGCGGCTGACCGGACCTACGTGGGCGAAGCCATTCTCAAAATCGAGCGTCCTTCAATGCAATGATCCTTCCAGATGTGATGCAGCTTGCCAACCAAACCTGTCGTACGAAAAGGAGAAGACTCAAAAAATGCTAAAAGCGCCGTCACGCTAATGAGCCCGGATGGCGGAGCCAAAACTCCCAAACCCGAGCAGATTATGCAACTTGAACGTCTGATTGTCGACCTGGCATTCTGACGGCTCGATTCCATGCACGAGGGAGCCCTTGCCGGGTTTTGGCAGAAGCCAAGCTTTTGGCTGAAACGATGGCATCCGTCTGCATCTCCGGTGCATCCTGCAGCTAACATCCTTCGTTCCGCGTACTCTCTGCAGGGTCCTAGCTCTCCTGGCCTGTGAACAAGTCGTCGACAGTGAACTGCCACCAGAAACTTGTCTGCCCGACTGGGCAACTTCGGCAAGGCTCTTAGACTCTTGTCGATCATCCGGCGGCCACTGTTGGATACCTCTAGGACATAGCTAGCACAAATGCATGCGGGTACCCTCCCTGACATATAGCTCCAAGCTACAAGCCACGCCCCAAAGCTCCCGCACAAGCTTTCTCAGCTTCGGGCGAGCTTGCTGCAAAGACGGAATACTGAAGTTCTCCTGACACAGTTATCCTAAACCCTAAACCCAAAACTGACCCAAAACCCAAACCCGACAAGCACAAACCCTATAGGCCCTTGACTTAAACCCCAACCCCTCATTTGCCCCTTCACGCGGTCCTGCGGAGTCCGTGTGTAAGACCCCCAGTATTCATCATCCGATGAGTCGTCCGAATCCATGGCAGTAAAAATTGAGTTCCTCTATGTCGGACGAAGATTGATAGCTGCTCGAATCGATATCAAAGGCAAAGCTCAAGCTGTCTTGAATGGCTGCCAAGTGGAACATGTCTCCCCTGGATTTTGCTAAGCCAAAGCTGGGCAGGTAGTAGAGTGCAGTCAAGGTTGTGCATGAAATCTGTCTTGAAAAGATGTTACCAACTCCTGATGCAAAAAACCTCCCTGGAACGTCGCACCCTAACATCTAGGAATCTGAACAACCCCATGAGCCACAGCCACAAGCTCCACAGCACAGGAGGGAGGACCGCTTTCGATGCGGAAAATTCAGCAGATGATTGTGCCGGCGTGGACTCGAAAACGGACCTGACTTCCTTCACCTGCACAAGTGGCAAAGGCACGACACGGCGAGCAGCGGCCCAGACAGGGGCAGGCCTTTTTCTTCTTTTTCTTTTTCTTTTCGGCCTCCTTCCAGTCCGAGAAAGCTGCGAACTGGGATTGCAGTCAGATCCGCACCTGGGGAGCCGGGGTCTCCGCCGGGGTCTCGCTGACGGGCGGGGCTTCCTCCACCGCAGCGTCAGGTGCCTCGTGGTAAAAGCGGGCACTTCTTATCAAGCTCTCGGTGCTAGTGATCCTGCACGCCTGGCACAGACGCGACAACCGCAAGATTCAGCAACGCAGAGCCCAAAAAACACGACTGAGAGAGGAACATCTTCATCAAGGCACGGGAGGAAATGGAAAGCACAAAGCAACACCCAACCCCGACAACAATGACGTACTGAATAACGATACCAACCAAAAAGGAACAAGATTAAAACTTGCATTTACAAAGACAACTGTGGCAAAATGTTCGTAACAATGCCAGCAGCCATTATCACACTGGTCATCATAAGTATGATAATGAGCTGAAACTTTAACAGCAATCTGCCTGGGGTTGAAAGTTCTACATCTTTTCGCAACGACCATCTCGGTTCTCACCACCACCACCACCACCTCCACTACCACCACCACCACCACCANNCCCCCCCCCCCCCCCCCACACCCCCGTCCACAGCCACAGTAGTCATCATGATGCCTCTATATAGAGTGCTCGATTACTGTGAAAGTTTCCCGCCCATGCGCAACATGTGCGTTTCACTCGGGCTTCGGCCACCTGACCATATCACATTGACAACAATGTGTCCAAATGCACGGCCCCTTACGGGCCCCGGCACCCAGCACGGTGACACCGCGCCACGATATTCTACAGCCTCTGCAGCACGCCCGGGGTCCTCTGTCCGAAAGGTTGGACCGAATGTTTACGGGTGCCTTCTGAGCCCCTTGGAACCCGACTGTAAACCCAAGACCCAGGATCTTGCTGATTTAGGTGGCAGACGCCAGCGTCCGGGGTCTCCTCCGCCTCGGCCATGCTGGGCCTCGGAGTTGAGGATTTGGGGTAGAACACCGGTCTGCTCATGCGTGCGAGGCCCCTGCTGGCTTGACTCAACTATGGGGCGAGTGCTTGAGAAAAGTGTAGCCACATGCCGAGATCATTTATGGCGCTGTCATCTGCCGCGCAGCACAACTCTTCATCGCAGACCTGGTTTGCACATTGGCTTTTTGCACAGAACTGGCGCACCGCTTTGGAGCGATCAGATTTCCGGCGTTGGCACTCGCCTTCGCCGTACGCTCAACTCCCTGGAACGTGAAACTTCAACACTGGTGGAACCCGTTGCTGCGGACTTTGCTCAGTTTCCAAAGTCCTCCGGAAGGCATGCAGTGCAAACCGCCGAAGAAGACACGTGAAGCAAGTGATCGGTCAGAATACAAATCGGAAAATGCACCGGCTTCACCAGGTGCTCGACGGCACATCGTCCCATTAGCTTTTTGTTCGCCGCTGACTCATGAGCTACGTCCTGACAGACGGCCACAGTTCGTCGAACTTTTCACAGCATGGTAGCACCTGGCACAGGTTTGGTGCATCTCGGCTGAGCCAGTACCAGCTGCGCATGCCAGGACCACCGACAGAGGACTTCCTCTGCATGGAATAAGTCTCTCCAACTCCAGCCTGAGGGCAGCATCAGCATGAGCTCAAGGCGTGTATCACCCTGTCACTGCTGCTGGATGCTGCTGCTACAACTGTCGCCATCGTAGCTTCTGCTACTGCCAATGATGACGGCCGCTGCTACTGCTCCTGCTACTGCTTCTACTGCTACTGCTACGGCTATTGCTACTGCTGCTGCTGCTGCTGCTGCTGCTGCTGCTGCTGCTGCTGCTGCCGCTGCTGCTGCCGCTGCTGCTGCTGTCACTGCCACCGCTACCGCATGCTGGCGACTGCGACTGTTGACCCTGCTACTAGTATCACGGTCGGAGGCAATGGCCGTCGTCGTGTAGCCGTTGTGGTCATTGCAGCATGTTCGGCATTACCGAGCCAACGGATTACTGCAGGCCTCGAAGAAAGTGCAGCAAGGACCGCAGAGCCGCACCATCTGAGCATGACCTCAGAATTCAGAAAGACAGTTCATGCTCCAAACATTTGAACCTTGCCCGAAAGTGACTTTGCCCACGGCGACTGAGTTGGAGGCCACTAGTTGGCATGATAGGTGCAACTCCACCTCCCCTCTCACGATTCAGGCCACCTGCGAGAGAGGGCAGAGCCAGCACAGCACGAAGCTCTTCGGAAAGATGCAAGGAGCCTTCTGTGGCATCCGCCTCAGGCCAATTGCAGAGACGCAGGGACCCGTCACGGACAGTGACCAGTGACCAAACGTGCTGGGTAACACAACAGCAAGCCCCAGTCGCCTTGCTCCCACTGGAATCGCTGCCTGTAGACTTTGCTGCAGCCTCAGGGAGGAGGCGAGACACTGCTCGACACTGCCTTTGCCATATGCAAGGACTCCAGCGTCAAATTCCGCAAGTCTTCAGCATACCTGCTCAGCGCCCTAGCATCTCAGAGCCTGGCCTCGGGCTCGTCGCTCAGCCGGATATCTGGCCTCAGCTGCGTTGCAAAGAAGGTCGAACCCAAACTTGGAAAAAAACCCTGTAGTAGGGGCCTTAATACTTGGAGAAGGGTTTGGGGGTATATAATACTCTACTTATAATTAATAAGGAACTTGAACCCCCAAGGGATACGAAATGGGGCACCCCCAAACTGGAAAACTAACAGAGGTAACCTCAAGAATAGAAATACACTGACCACTCAACACCAAGATCACCAAAGCTACAAAAGCAAACCCCAAACCCAAACCGTGGAGCTATTGAACCGTAGTGCTTAGAGTGATACCGAAAACGAATACCGAAGTCGGGTCTAAGCCCGGAGCACAAAGCCGGGGCTGGCTCCTCCCAAGTCGGAGGGAAAACTGGTCGACTGCGCTTCGGTTGGATCGGGGAGTGAGTTTCAAGAAGTTTAGGACTCGGGGACCCTGCTGCGGTTACCGGTTTTGAGGTGTTTGTCGAGATTTGGTGAAGGAGTTTTCGGGTATCGGTCTTCATGTTTGGGGTCTTCGGTCCTCTATCTTGGTCGAGGGAAAGCTCCACTGCCTGGGATGCAAGCGGGACGGAAGTACAGGCGAAGGAGAGCAATCTTGAGCACCCAGCTGCAGTCAGGCGCGATTCGTTGAGAGGCATGTTGACCTGCCGGAAACGCTTTTGACACCAGACTTCCACCAAGACGGTAGAGCAGTGGCGATGAGACCCGAGAGGCACTCCGCATTCCAGAACAAGCCGATGCAAACGACTAGCCTGGAACCAACTCTAAATCAACAGGCGCCTTGGTGTTCTGCCTCTCATCCAGCGGAACAATGATGATGCCCCTGACAGCTGCTCATCACAGTGGCGCTAGGCCCTAGGCATCAAAGAGTGTTCCCCAAAAAAAAAGAGGCTCCTGTTTTCGATTTTTGGTCCCGGAAGCCGACAGCGATTCAGACAGGGACGCAGAGAGGAGCGCCATTGGCAAGCTCTCACCTCGCACTTCCTCAACCCTGTGTACAGCGGTACTCGACGTCACGTCTTTTCCCGCCGCGGCGCAGCCCCGGCTTAGACCTGCAAGAGGCTATCCTGTCAGTCGAACATGTTGCCGCCTTCCAGCGCGATGCCCTGCAGAACAATGACTGAGAAACAAAACACAGCACAACGGCTCCCAACCAAGGATGTCTGTTCGGTCAATCTGCATTATGGGCCTTCTCCTTGGCAAATCTGTGGATCTGCTCTTTCAGCTCGGTCTGGGGGACAAGCTCCTTCAGAAGTCTTCTGAACAGGTTCTACGGGACTTTGTACTGGGCTTGCATCAGGGCTTCTTTTGGGTTCTATAAGGCGTTTTGCTTGAGAGGCTGCTATTAAGGGACCTTCTTTTCCCTCGGTTTCTGTGTCCTCCACCTTGAGGGGCGTGTTGGCAAAAGGATCCTTGTCCGCACCTTGCACGGTCCAACGCGCAATGCGGCTATGTTCTTTAGATGCTCTGGTCTGAGCTTCGAGCCCATGATGACCCGAAGGGCTGCGGTTCTGTCTGCAACCTGACGGCTCCCGAACCACCACCGCTCAGTACTCTGAGAGCCATGCGGTGTCGCATTGCATGGCCTTCTTGCTTTGCGGGAACATCACCGGGTCCGACATGATATCTGCCATGATCTCACAGAGATACTCTTGCGGGATCTCTGCCTGTCGGAATCTCGCACTGACGCACTAGCAGCATCCGTGTGTTGGGGGCGGGCCTCATCGAAGGCCGCTCGGTGTTGCGACACCTTCTCTGCGAGCTCCTGGAACTGCACAAAGATCACAAAGGACTCAGGAACACTTCCCACTTCAGGTAGCTCCGCTCCATCCCGGTCCTTGCAGAAGTCCGTGAAGGCCTCGAGGTCGCCGCTCGACAGCAGACCGTACTTCCTGCGCTCGTAACACCGCCCGCGGCATCCCTCTGTGCATAGCCACCCAGGCTTGAAGAGTGAGGTATCAGATGGTATCAGAAATGTCCACGGAAGCTATGCGCATTCGGATCACCTCCTTGGAAGCAAGCAGTGGACAATCGATGGGGTCATAGATGCTTCTTTGACGCCTAGCTCCGTGTTTGCTCCTGGCTGTCTCCCCATCATTGTAGGTGACAGGAACATCGACACAACCATGACTTCTCGTGAAGGAAGCTTTAGTCGGAGCTTCATGGTGTAAGCACTTCAATGGTGAAGCAATCCCTACGGAATGTGACTCGAAGCTTAAATTGTCGAACCAAGCATGACGTTGGACTAACATTGAAAATCATTCACAGCAAATCTATGATTTCTTGGTTAAGTGCCCCCTTGCCGGAGACATCTTACGATGCCCACAACAAAGCACGGGCACGTGAAAGCCTTCTCCTTTGCCGTGGCCCGGTTCTGCCTCGATAGATCTACGCTCAACAGTTAAGGCTGCGTGGGTCCACTGGGCGAGGACTATCACCCCGGTGAGTTTGCTACATCTACAAAGCACCTTTCCCCTCAATGTCTGTTTTGATCCAGCTGATCGTCTTTGTGTCATGGCGGTTTTTGAAGGCAGTGTCCTGACGAAGTTCGTGGCCTTGCTGAAGGTGTTGCTGCCTGGACATGGACTTAGACTTCCTAAGAAAGTCACCGAGTGCCACAGTGCAGTGGAGTCGCTGTAGTATCGCTCGTCTTTGCCGACCACGCGAACCACCTGGGGATCGGAGAATCCGAGGGACGGCGCGGTATCGAGGCCCCCCCGACTCCGCGGTAATAGTCTGGCCTCTGCTTTGTTCGCTTTCGCAAGGAAGAGATACATCTCCACAATCTGTTTGATGAGCTCCTTTCGGCAGACAAGCTCACCGAATTGAACTGCCAAAGCACTCGGAACGGGTGGCCTTGGGATTGAATCCAAGCTCATCGTATTCCTGAGGTGAAGCCTTGATCTTTTTCATGTCGGGCCCTGGAAATCATCCACATGCTGCTCTTCATGCGGTCGTGCGAACGCTTCAAGACTTCAAGCAGCTCCCGCCTACCAAGTAATGAAGCTGCCTTGGACAATCTCCAACCAAAGCTCAGAGGCTCGAACAGCAGCTCTGATGTATGAGCTTCAGGGGTCTAAAGCTCCCCTAAACCCTAAACCCTAAACCCTAAACCCTGAAGTGTGAAAATTGCGTGCTCTGCGGACGTGGCGCGCGTCGAGCGAAGAGTGCAGAAGCTGCTCTAGCCCCACGGAGCCGGCTACAATGGTCGGAGCGCAGAGCTTGCAGAGCAGCCACATCTGCTTCCATGTCCTGAAAAAAGGATACTACATGTTTCAAAAACACGCATAAAATGCATGTATGCATACATATATGTGGCTGCAAATATGTGGCTGCAAATCCATTCTCAATCTCCGTCTCCCTCCCTCTATCAGAGGAAGAGCGAAAGCGAGAGCGAGGCAGAGTATGCCCTAATTTCTTCGACAGCTTCGCCTCGAAGCCAAGCCAAAGTACTTTTTGGCATGCTCCTGGAGGCTTGTCTCTCACAAACCATAAAGCTTCCGATTCTAAATCGACCAGGCCTTGTAGTTCATCCGGCTTCGCCGATAGATGTCCTCCGCCTCATCACCGTCACCAGTCCGGTCATCCTCCAAGACCTCCAAAGCTCCAGATCCGCAGGACACGAACTGGAGGTCATGATCGTTTTAAAGACAGCGCCTGCACTGAAAGAGATGTATAGACCCCTGATATCTGATGTGAGCTTGCTCCCTGCCTGCTCATCGTGCCGCTGAGAAGCCTGACTTGGTGCTCTAGGGCTAAAGATGGCTCTGCAACCCTGGCTTGTCGGGTTTCGTGATACGGTTGCTGAACAGAATCCTGCATGACCTTATATACCTAAACTATGGGATTTATGGTACTATACTATATTTGGGTCATGCAGAGTTTTGTCCATCAACAGTCTCTCGTACATGGAAGCGACATGCAGCTGCACGGGGAGCCGACGGAACCGGACGAAGAGCTCTCGCTCTGCTTCGCATGGAAATCCTGAGAACATGCAGAAAGACTCGTCTCATATGGGAGTTTCCGAAAACAAGGGGTAGCATTTTGGGGGTCCTTATAATAGGGATCCTATCATTTAGGGTACTCTATTAGGGTCCCCTATTTTCGGAAACCCCCATATGTGTTGGCTATCAAGTAGTACTCTTATTGGCATGGCTATGGCTCTTGTTATTGCCCGGTTCATAGGGGCAAAGCTCTTGGCTTGGCAGAGCACTGAGAAAGCAAACAGCATTGATCCGGATTGCCACCACCACTACCGCCACCACCACCACCACCACCAACAACAACAACAACAACAACAACAACAACAACAAGTAGCACCACCACCACCTCCACAGTCAAGAGATATGAATCATGCTCACGTCTATACACAAGCGAGACGATGGCGACGACGAAGTCGAGCAGCAAAGACGAGAAGAGCAACAACACTAAGAATTGGAACTGCACATAGAGCAGAACAAACCATGATGCGCTATGTCCGAAGGCAGTGGGCTGTCCTGCACGGTTTTAATGGCCTCCTCGATCTGAGAGTTGCTGTCATTGATGAGTTGGGTCAGCAACTGTGCAGAACATCCGTGCCAGGAGGTCTTCGCTACATCAAAGCTTGCTTGCTCCGGCCTTCTGAAATCGATCATTGCCATCACCATTGATGAACTTCTCAAGGACCTGATGCCACGGACTGGAACGTACGTACCGTTTTTTCATACCTTCATGGGACTCTCACCCCTAAACTCAACCCTAAAACCCTCAAAAACTCTGCCTTTCTGTGGCCTGGCCTCGCGATGGCCTTCTGTCTGCAAGGCCAAGTCGAAGAGGTCCATCACAGGTACCCGGAGCTGGCGCAGTTCAGAAAGTAAGGGATCCCGGGATCCCCCCCTCCACTCTTCATGTCGCAGGATCCCGGATATAGAATGATATAGAGACTTCTAAATATCGCACCCCAATTTTCTGAATTTAGGTTTAGGGTTCGGGGTTTCAGACTGAAGGGCTGGTTTGGGCACAGCTTTGGCGCCTCATACTTGTATCGGTAGGACAAGTCGTAGTAGCTCATGATGGCTTTCTCCACGGCAATGAAGACCTGTGAGCGCAAGGGTGTAGGTATAGGATGATTTAGGATTTATGGTTGGCGAGCACGAAAGACTGCCTCGAGCACAGAAAGCTTCTGCGACGGGTTTGAGCATCACACGTTGATCAAGCAGGGGATGAGGTGCTTGTCGAAAGGTGGCATGTTCAGCTTGTCCTCAAGACCGGGCGCGGATCCAAGTGAAGCTGATCCTAACTTCTTCTTGCTACGCTCGGTCCCTCCAAGACCGGAATGCGAAGCAAAGACGATGCAGCAGTTTCACCTCAGTTCCGTGCTCCAACGCCTCATGAAAGTTCCTTTCAGCGCCGTCTTCCAGGCCCCCGGCAGCTCGCCCTCGCAAGGATGGATCCCTCACGTGGTCTTCGGAGGCCATCACCTGGATTTGGAAGACATAGACATGCACACCCACACACACGTGCAAGTCTCTTTATCTAGTTCCACCGTTACTGCACTCTATGCTCGACTCTAGACCGCTATCTATCTGCCCATTTACCGATCAAGCTGCTTTTGCAGACATCCGGGAGTTCCCGAGCGCAAGGCCACACAGAGCGTAGTCATGACAGGGTCAGGGTCCACGTGGACGAACAGCCCCGTCGGTATACCACCAGCTGCAAGCAGAGCTGCCAAGTGCAATGTGCAAGTCCGGAGGCACCATTTGAGCACACCTTTCGCGAGGTAAGGGCCACACACTTGCTCCTGTCGCGGTCGCGATACAGGTCACAAAGCTCGATGATGTTCTCCAAGACCTCATGTCTGGCCAAGGACCCCAAAACCCTCTAAGCCGTGCAGACCTCAAACCCTTGCAGGGATGCTGAGATCCACACAGAGCTTGGAACCACGTGCCAGGTGGGACCCGGCTGTGGTGCTGGCAGCGCCTCTGAACTACAACTCGGTTTTAGCTGTTAGCGCGCCATTCCGGCTGGCCCAAATCCTTGAACTCCAACCCTAAATCACAAGAAAAAAATAAATCCCGAAACCCCCCAACACCCCAAAAGCCAAAAAAAGCTCCGAAAGCTCTCCAAGGACACAGGAGAAGCCGCCTTTTCGCTCCCAGCCGCCGCGGTCTGAAGGAATCGAAAGGTCAGATCGACCAAATGGCCCAGGCGCTCCAGGAAACGCGGCTCCTTCCGCTCTTTGGGCTTCGGGGCTTCGGTAGGGCCTCGTTTGGGGGTTTAGGGCTTGTTTGTATGTTTCTGAGCGGGTGCTGTAAGGCTTCGCGGGTTCAGGTTTTGGGGGCTTTGGGGATTCAGGGCTCAAGGTTCAAAAGTTCAGTCAGTTGTTTAGTGCGCAGGAAACCGCATAGGCGCGCGCGCTGCGTGCGAAGACCCTGACGGCCCGTTGACGTTCCGCCTCGCCCAAAAGCACAAAGGTCCCGACATCGTTAACACTCTTTTCTACAGAGTTCTGCACGGAAATGCATCTGGCATCCTAGCAGACAAACGTCTCGGCATTGACAGGGCAAAGCAAGCTAGAACCTCGAAAGCTGACTTTCGTTCAGGGCTTCACCCTATTCTGGTTATGGAGGCCCCTACATTGAGCAATAGGAACCCCACCACGGAAGCCTCCAGCCGCTTCAGTCCTTCAGAGCTGCCTCTGAAAGCAGGTACTCCCGCCAGGCCGTGTCTGCGACTTGGCGGTCCTTGCCGTTTCATTCGGTTTAGGGTTTAGAGCTTCTTCTGATACCGCATACCGCATACCCACACCCGTGGCACGGCAGTTCAAGCGACGACTGAAGCATCCTTGTCGTAAAACACGGACGCGATGCCCTGCCATGCATGGAAGGCTTCCTTTGCCACAGGCATGAGCCTAAGCTGACGGGATTCACCAAGAGTTGGAACTCTGGAGTTTGCAGCTTCGAGGCTCAGAGTCGCATGGGCACCTCGACACGAATCACCAGGCTGAGGCAGCAGCAAAGAGCCGATTCCCTTCGTAGCAAGCCAGAAGACCTGAGAAATCCAGAAATACAACTTGGAAACGGTGTGAAGCAGTTGACATTGCGTAGTCAACGTGCCTCGGATTTGAAGAGGGTTTTGTCGCTGAGGACAGCAGTGTAGGTGGGCTCCTTGGCGGTCCAGAAGACAGTGCAGGCAGGAAAAACAGATTGTGAGTGCTGGCTTTTCGGCGTTGGGTGTTGAAGGCTTGGAGGATTAACCCAAGCCGTGATGCTAGAAGTGCCTTGTCCCTGTATGCTGTGTGACATTAACCATCATTGTACATTCGATCGTTGCGCCACTACTCGTATTCGTACTACTACCACTACTACTACTA